TTATATTGGGTTCATTTGCCAGCAACATGATGGAAATGTTATCTCATTACATTATTATAAAACTTAAAATGTCTAACTGTGCAATCAGGAATATTTGAGAAATTTTCTGTCTGATAATTATTAACTGAATAAACCTGGTCACGTTGTTCAAATTTTCAAAAGTATTTCTACATCTGTGATGTAGAAATACAAGCATCTTTCCTTCAGGACTAATGAGAGGAATCATCATGATACATGTAATTTTTTTGGTACATATAATGGTATCTCTTATAATCAACCGCTTCTCTTCTGTAAGATACTATGCTTTTAATGCCAGCCATAATGACTCTTCTCTTCTCACTTTATCCAATCACTGTCTGTTGATGTCTCTACATCTTTAGGCAGAAAATGAAATTACTAGAATAAAATTCATGGATCAGGGGTCTGAATGCAGCAGATTATAACTGGATACTTCAGTCCAAATTGCTGAAGTGTTTCATGTGGGAGCACTGCTGTTATCAGTATACACAGAGAATAATTATCCACATATTCTATATTTTAAAAATATTGGAGTCATTTACAGTATAGATTATCTCCGGAAGAAATGATGAAAATCTTCCAGAAACCTAAGGTCTGGGAAGTGAACTCTAACCTGGCCACCATCTGAGAAGAAAATCTGAAACAGACATGTGAGTAGACAATGGACAATAAGAAAAGTCATAAATCCTATTTGAAAGAAAATACAGAATCTAGTTAGATCGTTCCTTGTTTAATGGATGGTAATGAGAAAAAAATACAATATTATTTGAAGCCTATGAAATAATACTTCAGATGAAGTAAAGGGATCGTTAACTTGAAAACTCAGAGAAAGAGACATATATTCAAAAATTATAGGAGCTATAATAATGTATGATTGTTTAGCATAATAAATAACAAATATTAATATATTACATTTTTCATACTGTATCCACACTGACATTGTAAAGAGGCATGTATGCATGGATGGGAGAATTGCTGCAGCCATTTTTGCAAACAAGCTACCATAATGAAATATTACACATACCCACTAAATTTTCCACTAAAACAGAAAAAACAAAAAGTTCCAAGTATTGGTTAGGATACAGAAAAACTGGAACTCTTATATACTGCCTGTGAGACTATAAGCTGGCACAACTATTTTGGTAAGTTGTTTGACATTGCATACTAAAGCTGGATATATGCATACTCCATTACCTAAAATTCCATTTCCAAGTATATATCCAATATAAATGTACATAGAAATAATTTTCTCTAAACAAAACGTATTAAAATATTCATAGTGGCATTATTCATATTAGTCAAAAAACTGAAAACATTACAAATGCTGATTGGCAATATTATAGATTTTTTAAATTGTGATATATTTACTCATTGAAATACTGAACAGCTAGGGCCAGTGTCACATGAGTGCCACCTGGGAAGTCCAAGCCTTCACGCAGAAGGATCTTGTACTTGTTTAGTTTAATATTCTGCTGTCACCATCTCAAATTCTTAACTAATTTTTGAAGAGGGTCTCTGCAAATTATGTAGCCAGCCATGTGTACAGCAATAACAAATAATAAATAAGTCCATACAAAGATATGTATGAATATCCCAAGCAAAACATCACATAAGAGAATATATATTTTAAGACTCCAATCATATAAAGTATAACAACAGACAAAATGAATTAATGCTGTCAGAAGTCAGGAGAGGGTCTGATAGCTAGAAGTGGATCACAAGGGAGATTTTTGGGTAATAGTGAATCATATTTCATAATCTGGGTCTCAGTTACATATGTATGTTCAGTTTGTGAAAATTCATTGGATTGACTTACATATACCAAAAACTCTTAATATTTGCTCACATTGCTTTATGTATTTTACACATCAATTAAAAAATAAACTAAGATCACTGAAATCTTGATTTGCAAAAATAAGTAAAATAGAAGAAGGAAGAGAAAGGGAAGGAGAAGGAGGAGAATGAAGAGGAGTAGAAGAAGGAAGAGAAAGGAAAAATAACCTACAAAACTTTCATACAATATAATGATATGCCAGTCATTGTTTCTTACATTCTTCTCTCTCATTATAGTATAGTGCTCGCAGACTACCAATCTTTAGTTTATTTCCCTTAGCTTCTATCTTGTAACGATAACAAGATGGGGCATTTATAAAAACATAGCCCTGTTCTATGTTTTGTATTTTTTAAATGTTTAATCAACTTTATTGAGTTAATTTGCATACAATAAAATTCACCCATTTTATGTGTAATTCAGTAAGTTTTGACAAACGTGCACAACTATGTAATCATCATCACAGGGTGTTGAACATTTCCACCACCCCAAAGAGTTCCTACAAGTTGCACAAAAAGCAATCCACATTTACCACCACTAGCTCGAGGCAACCACCAATCGGCTTTCTATTATTATAGTTTTGCCTTTTAGAGAATATAAAATTAGTAGAGTAATCGAGTCGTCTGGTTTCTTTAACACAGCATAGAGCTTTTTTGTGTGTGTGAGGAAGATTGGCCCTGAACTAATATCTTTTGCCAATCTTCCTCTTTTTGCTTGAGGAAGATTGCTGCTGAGCTAATGTCTGTGCCAATCTCCCTCTACTTTATGTCGGATGCTGCCTCAGTGTGGTTTGACGAGTGGTGCTAGATCCACATTTGGGAACCAAACCTGAGAACTCCCAGCCACTGAAGCAGAGCATGCAAACTTAACCACTATGCCACTGGGCCAGCCCCAGCATAAAGCTTTTGAGATTCAACCAAGTCTTTATATGTCTTAGTAAGATTTGTTTTCTCTTTTAATTGTTGAGGAGTATTTCATTGTAAGGATACACCACAATTTCTTTATCCATTCACTAGTACGTGGGTGTTTTGGTTGTTACCATTATTTGATGAATATGAATAAAGCTGCCATGAACGTTAGTGTACAAGTTTTTTGTGGATATGCATTTTCATTTCCTTTTGGGTAAATATCTAGGAGTGTGGTTTCTAGGTTATATAGTAAGTGTATGCTTAACTAAACTGCCAAATTGTCATTAGAAGGTGTTTAATGACTGACTTATTTCTGTATAGGATATCTGTGTGTGATAATCTGCGTAGGATTATGATCAATACATGATCAATACATGCTCTGGGGTTCTTGAAAATATTTAGCTGAAAAGCATGAATAAAAGATAGGTATTTCAAGAAATAAGGTAATACCATTTTTCTAAAATTTCCAAAAGTCTACCTAAATATTTTATTGAAAAATTGTTGGGGGCCAATCCGTGGTCAAGTGGTTAAGTTTGCATGTTCTGCATCGGCAGCCCAGGGTTTCACTGGTTCGGCTCCTGGGTGTGGACATGGCACCACTCATCAGGCCACTCTGAGGCAGCATCCCATGTGCTACAACTAGAAGGACTCACAACTAAAATATACAACTATAAACTGGGGGAATTTGGGGGAGAAAAAGCAGAAAAATAAAAGAAGATTGACAACAGTTGTTAGCTCTGGTGCCAATCTTTAAAAAACAAATTGTGTATTGAGCACTTCCTATTTGCCAGGGACTCTGGTCATAGGGACAAGACTATTATGTAGAAAAAGCATGAGGCAGACATTGTGATATGTTTAGCTTTAAATAATTAATATCACTGTGTACAATGCGCTGTTATATGATAATACTGAGTTTAGCAAATCCAAATTATCTCAAGTTGCTGAGTTAGAAAAAACCTTTTCTGCACACCACTCATCTTATCTGCCTCCCTGGTCTAGATATAAGCATTTTGTAACTTACTGTTCAGGTTGCAAATGCTCCTGATTTCACAGAGTGCAGTAGGGAAAATAAATGCTTTACCAGTGACAATTGAAAAGATAGCATACAAGTAAACCTTAAGGGTGAGAGATACCACTTTCTAATTTTTTTTCTTCCTTAGGCTTTAGTTATTTTTCTAAGGAGGGAGGCTTTGCCAGCTACACAGACTTTAGATATTATCTAGACCCTCAGATTCCTGGAGGAGGTGAGCCCTGGGAAAGCAGAGAAAAACATATGAAGACGGAAACAGCAATTTTGCAAAACCAACTTTGTGAAGAGGTTTTATATACTAGTTCCTGAGGTTCAGTACAGGGCAGATAGCATATATTAGATCCATTTTCTAGAAAGTTAAAATAAGCAGTTTAAAAAATACATTACTTCTATTATATAAATACAAAGTGAACGTTTGTGTAAACATTGGCTGATTTTTACATTTAGATGTTAACTGAATTTCAAAAGACTTATTTTAAGTCATGTATTAATATCACAAAATCATGAAATTATTTGTTTTGAGATTAAATATGTAAAAGTTCCTTAAGGATAAAGTTTCTTTTAGGATAACATTTTTTAAGTTAAATTTCATTGTTAATATATTTGGATTATTTCATGTCTTTTTTATTTTTAATTAAATTCAACCTATATCCAGGATGACTTGCAGTTTGCCTAACAAAGGTTGTAAATAAATACTGGGTAGGATATTAATAGATAAATATTCTGACTGCAAAACCACTCACCTAAATCACTGAGTCTTCTCCCTTTAAAAAAAGTATTACATGTAGAAAAGCAAAAGAACAAACAGGTGAAACTATTTAAAGAAGCAAACTATTAACCTGGGCTACATGTACCAGTGCATAGTCCAACAGATAAGTAAAATAAACCCTGCTACAAATGCTTGATATTACTTTTCGTTATTCTTCTATAACTTTCTTATTTGATCTAATTACAGGGAGGGAATTATAATTTAGTGCTGCAGACATTCATTACTAGTGATAGGAGAAAAAAACAAAGAATATTTAGCAGCATCAATAAGAATTATAACTAACATTTAAAAGTTTACAATACCTTTTACAGATATTGTTTCTTTAATTATCTAATTAACCTTTAATTAACGACCTTCTCCAAAAAGACTTTTCTAATTAATCACCCACCCACTGTTCTTTCCTTGTGATATCATAAAAGTAACACTAAAGATAGAGTCTACTGCTTGTTTTGGGGGCACATATGCTATGATTGAAATGATACAGAGAAGATTAACATGACCACTGAGCAAGGATGACATGCAATTTTGTGAAGTATTTCATCTTTTTTTTAGATTTAAAAAAATAAAGAAATCCTATGAGAAATATCTGACTCACTTAGGAAAAGTAACATACGGATAATGGGTATCCCAGCAGGATAAGAGAGGGAAAAAGGAGCAGAGAACTTACTTAAAAAATAATAGCCGAGAGCTTCCTAAAACTGGGGAAAGAACTGGATACAAAAGTACATGAAGTCAATAGAACACCTAATTATCTCAACACAAAAATACCTTCTCTAAGGCACATTATATCAAAACTGTCAAAAGTCAGTGACAGACTATTAAGGGAGGTCAGAGGGAAGAAAATAACTTGCAAAGGAACCTTCATCAGGTTATCAGTGGACTTCTCAGCATAATCTCTATAGGCTAGGTAAAAGTAGAATGATATATTCAAAATATTGAAAGACAACAAGTATCAGCCAAGAATATCCTATCCAGCCAAATTATCCTTCAGCTGTGAAAGAGAAATAAAGGCTTTCCCAGACAAACAAAAGCTGAGGGAGTTCATTGCCACTAGACCTGCCTTACAAGAAATGTTGAAAAGAACCCTCCTGTCTGAAAGAAAAAGACAAACATTTATAAAGCTTTGAGCAAGGTGATAAACAGGCAGACAGAATCAGAAAATTGCAACTCTATATCAGAATTGGTTAGTAAACACTGAATAATATAAAGGCTAAAGGGAAAGAATGCATCAAAAATAACTAAAACCACTTCAATTTGTTATCAAACTCACAGCACAAAAAAAGGATAATTTATGACAACAAAAACATAGAAAGGAAAGAGGAAAAGGAAGGAACATGCATAAGCTAAAGGAGATAAGATGGTATCAGCAGAGAAAGGACTATCTCATATGTGAGATATTTTATGCAAACCTCGTGGTAACCACAAAAGAATCATAAAAATGTCACAGAACATAAAACAAGAGGAAACTGAGAACACTACAGAAAACCACCAAACTGAAATGGTGGACAGAAAAGCAAGGATAAAGAAACAATGGAAATATAGAACAACCAGAAAGCAAAAGATAAAATGGAAGTATTAAGCCCTCATATATCAATAATCACTCTAAATGTGAATGTATTGCATTCACCAATCAAAAAACACAGAGTGGTTGGATGATTTAAAAAACAAGACACTACAATATGCTGCCTCTAGGAGACCCATCTCAGCTCTAAATGCAAACATAGGATCTGAGTGAAGAGATGGAATATGATACTCCAAGCAAGTGACAACCAAAAGAAAGTGAGTATAGCCATATTTATGCCCGATAAAACAAACTTCAACAAAAAAAGAATCAATATACCAAGAAGACATAACATTTATTAAGATGTATGCACATAACACAGGAGTATCAAAGTATATAATGCACTACTAACAGAAAAAGGGAGAAATTGACAGCAACACAATAATATTAGGGGATTATTACATCAATGGAACGATCATCCAGACAGAAAGTCAACAAGGAAACAGTGGCCTTAAACAAAACATTAGATTTCATGGACTTAATAGGTGCATATAGAACATTCCACCCAAGGCACCAAAATACATATTCTTCTTGAGTGCACATGGAACATTCTAAAAAGACAGACCACATCTTGGGAAAGAAAACAAGCCTCGATAAATGTAAGAAGATTGAAATCATATCAAGCATCTTTTCCAAACACAGTGGTATGAAATGATAAATTGACTAGAAGAAGAAAGCTGGAAAAGTCATAAATATGATATTGAACAACTATTGTATCAATGAAGAAAGGAAAGGAGAAATGAGAAAAAAATCTAGAGACAGATGAAAACACAACATACCAAAACTTATGAGATGTATCAAAAGTGGTATGTAGAGGGAAGTATACAGCATATAGGCCTACCTCAAAAAATAAAAAACATTCTCAAATACACAATCTCAAATAAACAATCTAACACTATATGTAAAAGAACTAGAAAAAGACAAGGAACAAAGCCCAAAGTCAGTAGAAGGAAGGAAATAATAAAAATCAGAGGAAAATAAATGAAATAGAGACTAAAAGCTATGGAAAGGATAAATTAAATTAAGAGCTGGTTCTTTAAAAAGAAACAAAATTGACAAACCCTTAGCCAGATCAACTAAGAAAAAAAGAGAGACCCAAATCAATAAAATCAGCATGAATGAGGATAAATTATAATGGATACCATAGAAATACAAAAGATTATAAAAGAATACTATGAAAAGCTATACACTACCAATTGGATAACCCAGAAGAAATAGATAACTTCTTAGAATTCCACAACCTACCAAGATTGAACAAAGAAGAAACAGAGAATCTGTTTCTCTGTAGAGAATAGAGACCAATCACAAGAGATTGAAACAGTAATCAAAAAGTTCTAAAAAAACAAGTCCAGGACCAGATGGTTTCCCTGGTGAATTCTACCAAACATTCAAAGAGTTAATACCTATCCTTCTCAAACTCTTCCAAAAAATTGGAGAGTATGGGACAATTCCTAACTCATTTTACAAGGCCAACATTATCCTGGCACAAAAACCAGGCAGGGACAACACAAAGAAGGGAAATTACAGGCCAATATCACTGATGAACATAGATGCAAAAATCCTCAACAAAATACAGCAATACATTAAAAGGATCATACACAATGATAAAGTGGGAGTTATACCAGGGACACTGGGATGGTTCTACATCTGCAAATCAATCAATGTTTTATGCCACATTAACAAAATGAAGAATAAAAATCACATGATCATCTCAATAGATGCATAGAAAGCATTTGACAAGACCCAACATCCACTTATGATTAAAAACTGAATAAAATGAATATAGAAGGAAAGCACTTCAACATAATAAAGGCCGTATATGACAGCTAACATCATACTCAGTGGTAAAAAACTGAAATCTAGTCCTCTAAGAACAGGAAAAAGACAAGGATACCCACTCTTGCTATTCTTTCAACGTAGTATTCGAAGAGCTAGCCAGAGCAATTAGGCAAGATAAGAAATAAAAGGGATCCAAATTGGAAAGGAAGAAATAAAACTGTCACTATTTGTGGATGACATGATTCTATACATAGAAAGCACTAAAGAATCCACCAAAAAACTATTAGAAATAATTAACAAATACAGTAAAGTTACAAAGTACAAAAGTCAACATACAAAAATCAGTTGCATTTATATACACTAATAATGTAATAGCATAAAGAGAAATCACAAATAAAATACCATTTACAATCCAAAGAAGAAAATATCTAACATAAATTTAACCAAGGGTGTGAAAGATCTATACACTGAAAACTATAGACATTAATGAAAGAAATTAAAGAAGACATAAAGAAATGGAAAGATATTTCCTGCTCAAGGATCAGAAGAATAAACATATTTAAAATTTCCATAATACTTAAAGCAATCCACAGATTCAATGCAATTCCAATCAGAATCCCAATGATATTCTTCATGGAAATAGAACAAAGAATCCTATAATTCATATGGAACAACAAAAGACCCCGAATAGGCAGAACAATTCTGAGAAAAAAGAACAAAGTTGGGGGTATCACATTCTTTGAATTCAAAACATGCTACAAAGCTATAGTAATCAAAACAGCATGGTACTGGCACAAAAACAGACACACAGATCAATGGAACAGAATCAAGGGTCCATCTATGCATAGCTAATTTTCAACAAGGGAGCCAAGGGTATGCAACGGAGAAAGGAAAGTTTCTTCAATAAATGGTGTTGGGAAAACTGGACAGCCATGTGCCTAATGAAAGTAGACCATTATCTTACAACAGACTCAAAAATTAACTCAAAATGGATTAAAGACTTGAATGTAATACATAAAAATCCTAGAAGAAAACAAAGGCAATATGATCTTTGACATTGTCTTAGGAGTATCTTTTTTTGAACTTTTTATTGAGATTATGATAGTTTACAACCTTGTGAAATTTCAGTTGTACATTATTGTTTGTCAGTCGTGTTGTAGGTTCACCACTTCATCCCTTGTGCCCACCCCCATACCCCCTCCCCCTGGTAACCACCAGTCTGTTCTCTTTGTCTACATGTTTAACTTTCACATATGAGTGGAGTCATACAGCGATTGTCTTTCCCTATGTGACTTATTTCACTTAACATAATACCCTCAAGGTCCATCCATGTTGTTGTGAATGAGACGATTTTATCTTTTTTTATGGCTGAGTAGTATTCCATTGTATATATATTCCATATCATCTTTATCCAATCATCAGTAGATGGCCACTTAGGTTGCTTCCACATCTTGGCCATTGTGAATAATGCTGCAATGAACATAGAGGTGCATAAGTCTCTTTGAATTACTGATTTCAAGTTCTTTGGATAGATACCTGGTAGTTGGATGGCTGAATCATATGGTATTCCTATTTTTAATTTTTTGAGAAATCTTCATACTGTTTTCCATAGTGGCTGCACCAGTTTGCATTCCCACAAGCAGTGTGTGAGGGTTCCTTTTTCTCCACAACCTCTCCAACATTTGTCACTTTTTGTTTTGGTTATTTTTGCCATTCTAACAAGTGTAAGGTGATATCTTAGTGTAGTTTTGATTTGCATTTCCCTGATGATCAGTGATGATGAGCATCTTTTCATGTGCCCATTGGCCATCCATATATCTTCTTTGGAGAAATGTTTGTTCATGTTCCCTGCCCATTTTTTGATGGGGTTGTTTGATTTTTGGTTGTTGAGTTGTGTGAGTTCTTTATGTAGTATGGAGATTAACCCTTTTTCATATATATGATTTGCAAATATGTTTTCCCAATTGGTGGGATTGTTTTTCTTTGTTTCAATCCTGTTTTCCCTTGCCTTGAAGAAGTTCTTTAGTCTGAAGACCAACTTGTTTGTTCTTTCTATTGTTTTCCTCGTCTGAGAAGAATGGTGTCCTAAAAGATCCTTTTAAGACTGATGTCAAAGAGTGTACTGACTATATTTTCTTCTAGAAGCCTTATGGTTTCAGGTCTTACCTTTAGGTCTTTGATCCATTTTGTGTTTATTTTTTGAATGG